AATTCTTTTTACTTATATTTATAGAAAGAAACAATTTTTATATATTTTTTTCTGGACAATCTACGAATGGGGGCTGCTAATATTATAATACGATATTAGAACACTGAGATAGTTAACATATACGTTAGCACACACATGTTAGAAGATCATTGAGAAATATAATTACTAATATTAGTATTAATTAATGGACAATTATTTACTAATTTATGATTAAGCACTCAATATTTGAAAGAAGAAGATCAACTTTCACAGATGAAAATTACTTTATGATGCGACTTTTCAATTTTTAAATGCACGATTTGTTGCATCAAATTTCCGTTATAATTATTATTTTTTATAATAGTTACGTAAAACGTCATTAACTATCGCGAAAGTATGTTGTAACGCGAATATCTTCTTAATTACACATTATCCGCGAATGCAATTTCTTCTCGAAAGTCCTTAAACACGACTTCATTCAAGATAACTCGATGTTTTCATCAGATGACTGTAATTACTGAGATAATCGAATTTGAATATTTTTATAACACGCCCACAATTATTTGTTACACAATGTATCGTTAACGTCATTTTCGCACTTTTGTAGCATCCGCAGATTGGTTTATTAATTTCATAGTCATTTAACTCAGTCTTTGTTTTGACATAAAAACAATATGACATAAAATTTTTCACAAGATAATTTAGAACTACAAAAAGTTGATCGGTTAAAAACTTATAAATGGAAATATTACAAGAGAAAAATTTAAATAAGTTAAAAAGAACATTTAAAAAATTCTTTATTGTACTCAAGAAAATTCTTTTTTTGAATTTTATATACGTTTACAGAAAGAAATGTGTCTGAGGTATCTAAAAATTTAGTTAGATACTGGATACGTATCTCAGAATAATTTTATTGAACCATTAAAATTATATAGAACGCTCAAACTGATTGCTAGAATGTCAAAACTTTATGCAGCATTATTCATCTCTCTCTCTCATACTTGAGATTTACGTTATTATTATTTGATAATCCAACAAAATTACTTTCAGATGTATCTAACTAAATTTTTTACTTTTAAAATTTTAACGAAATTCTTTCCGTGTACTTTTTTTTTTTGAAAATTTTGATGTCAATTAATTTACGATTACTTTTTTTTGCATTGAGCTTTGCTCTTATAATTCTTACAGTAATCGTAATTTTTAAAGGGGTGAGACTTTAAATTCTCTGATTCTTCTAATTATCGTTTACTAACATTCATCACGGCGTGAAATTGAAAGTAAAGGATATTCTTAGATATATTCATTCATTTCTGTTACATTTAACTGCATGGTCTTAGATTAGAATTCAAACAATATCATATAATAATTATTATGAAAATCGACTATGCTTGTGTTGGAATGAATTAAATAATTTATAGAAAGAGAAAGCTCGTTTAAAAATGGAATAAGCATTATTGTTCTAACATTCTTCTACAATTCTATCTTCTTTGATATCCCATTTGATATCTTAAAAATTTACTTTTTCCCATTTTTTCAAAAATTTTTTATGCAATTTCGTAGTTTATTCATTCCTGCTCAATTGGAGATATGGCATTGTCGAGACAATTGTATTATGTATAAATTAAGGCAATACTCACCATCCGGGAACATCCTCGGGATCCTCGCAAGCGCCACTGCCGTCGGCATCGCCGATCTTAAAAACTGTGCCAATCGGGCAACCGTATTCCCTGGCGATGCCCTCAAGGCATATGTAGTACTTTCTGCAATCCTCCGGATGGGCGTGTCTGCTGAAACTGCCGGATGCGCCGCTCACTTCTCCCGCAGCCGGACACGTGAAACCTCCGGCGACCTCTGCATAATGCAATAAATAGATATATAACATGAGCGACAGAGAAAGGCATCGTGTTTCTTCGTAATTGCGATACTGATCAGTCTTGAGTTGGCAAACGAAAGCAGAATACAAGATACCTCACATCTTACATGCAAGAGAATATTAAATATAAGAGATGAAAAGATGTTTTAAAATTTTAATGTAATAGTTTAATTGATAAAAAGTTGTCGTATAA